AGGCGTGATTGTCATTGCCTTCAGTGCCTCGCACCATTGCTTCAAACATTGCAGCCGGAGGCAGCGACAGCACTGGCCGGTCTCTTGCCCTGTCGCTGTCGCAGAGATTTGTCACCACTGTCTCCATGTGGTCTGCCGCCGCTCCCACAAGAATGAGTGAGGGGCTCATCGGCCGGCTTGTTCGTGGCCCACCTCCTGTGACAGAAACCAAAGAATTTGAAGCTCAGATTGGAGAGAGTGAACAATGTATGGGACGAACAATTCAAAGAGCACACTGAATTTTCGAAACGCCTCCGTGCGAGATAAAAACAATTGTTAAGGGGACTAGAGCGAACCTAACGAAGAGAAAATCTAGCACAACCCAGTGGAGGCCCACCTGGAACCTTCTTATGGGCAATTGAATGCTGGGCACTTTGTTAGAATAGGCTTCCGGCAAGATGCGCGAACCTCATTTGTTTTCAGTGACGATTGTAAAAAAAAAAAATGTCAATAACGCCAAATGTTTTACAAAAAAATATGTCAAGAAAAAAGCAAAGAAGTAGGCCCACTTTGGATCGAACCTGGATCGGCTGCATGCGTATGAAGCGAACTTTGCTACGCTACAGCTTTGAACAACTCGTTTTGAAAATTCGTTTGATACGAGACCCGGAAAGGAGCACGACGTCGTGCACATAGCATTGTTCTGGTCGAAAAGACTTCTCTCCGATGTTTACTTTTCACACATCGGGAACGGTTTACCAAATATGCAAATTGTCGACTTACCCGTGGCGTGGATGTCTCTCGTCTCGTCGGACTTGGTTTTTTTGTATCTGGATTTTTCGTTCACCCAACGCTTCTTAAGTTGCTTAGCGCTTCGTGGGCGGACGTTTGGCTGGCTGTTATACTCGGTGCTGAGTTTCTCCCAAGCTTTAAGTTTAGCCTCCTTCGAGTAGTTATTTGTCTTCTTGTTTTCAAGAACTCGCGCATGTTTCGTTACGAGCGCTTGGAGGAGCGCCTTCTCCTCCGCAGTATAAATAAAACGAGCCCCTGCCCGCTCTTCGGCATCGGCCATTTCCGAGTCGTTGCCGTTGGGGTCCTCCATGATTTGTCGTGCGAGGCGGCGAGGCGACGAAGCAGGGCTGCACGGTAGACAAAGGGCGGCGAAAGCAAGAAAAAACGAGACGAAATCGACAAACCGTGAGATAGACGACTGTCGACGAGAGAACGACAAGACGCAGCTAGCGAATGCGCTTGTTGCCAGACAAGGTAACGACTTTGTCCGTTTTGCCGCTCAAACACGTCTAAACTTTACGCTGCCTTAATAAAACTTCGTAGTTCACTAATTCGATGTTTGTATGGTACACGTTTTTAGATAACACGAACGAATATATTTACTTTTCACGTGAAAATGGTGTTTTAAATAAAACCTTTGGCTATAATCTCGCTCCCAGACGTCCTCAAGCTTGTTGGAGTGGAGAACGGAATCTCGAGTTCGAGTACAGTTCGAGTGAGTGCCGATTCGCGTCTGTGAATACCAATGGCACTTCGAGTGGAGTCGCGCGTCCATACTCCACTCAAGTCGAGTCGAGTTTGGAGTCGAGTAGGGGAATGTTTATGAATACGGCGGTTAAATGTAAACATTTCGGCAGAACTCCGCCTAGTAAGTTTAGCAATATGAAAGGGGTAGATAATATTGAATATATTTCTGATATAACATAAGCTTATATATATATATATATATGTATATAAACGAATATGTGCAGATGAATGAACCGTACTTAATCCAATGAATTAAAGAATCGAAGTTTTCAGGAACCCGCCGAAAGCCAAAAATTGGCGGAGCCAGGATTTGAACTCTGGGCCTCCCAATGTCCGGTCGGGTGTGCTAACCACTACACCACTCCACCTTAGCTTTCTGGCGTTTCCTACCTGTCTTATTAATGCACAAGAAACGAAATGTGTCCAATCGGAGGTGTTCTGGAAACACACGCCGCCGCGTGGAACGCGGTACGACGCTTAGTGTCACGTGGTACGTGCTCGTTTATATACATATATATATATATATATACATATATACATATATATATATATACATATATATTTATATACATATATATATATATATACATATATATACATATATATATATGTATATATATATATATATATATATATATATATATATATATATATATATATATATATATATATATATATATATATGTATATATATTTCCATGTTTTCGGAGCTTTTTTGGTTTTTTTTTCATTTGGGGGTATTTTTTACGAGTTAATTTATTTTTACTGATTCGGTGTTTTTTGTGTAGATTTGTTATGACTTAAACCGAAGTACACAAAAACAGCGAATCTGCAGGGAAAATTAAACCCACAAAAAATTCTCCCGAATTCGAGAAAAAATAAACACCGAAAACACGGAACCTTAATTATATTGGATTTTGTTACATAGTAATATATTGTGTTATATAATGATATAGACTGTATAATATATAGGCTATATAAGCCATAAGCAATACTTTCTATCATACCATTCCAGCTAAATATACAACTAAATAGAAACAAGAGAAGATTATAAAATAATTAAAGACGTTTACAAGTCTCTGTAGTACCGAATTAGAGTGCAGCTCTTGAGGAGGAGGTGGGGAAGATCCGGAGAAGAGGATGTGCCCCTTTTTCCCTTCACACCCTCCCCCCTCCTTCTCTCCTAGTCCCCTCCCATCTAGTGAGAAATTTACCAATATTTTCACACTAAATTTAGCAGAAATGTAGCGAATTTTTTCTCTGAATTTAGCGGGGAAATTTGATTGGTCCTGAGGTCACGTGACGTCAATTTCCTCCCTAAATTTTGCGGTAAAATTTTTTCGATAATTTTAGTAAGTTTAACGCGATGTCACACGTGACATCACGTGTGACGTGACGAGGACGAAATGTTGCCGCTGAGTTTGGCGAGAACATTTTTCCGGCAAGAGGTAACGAACAAGTTTGCCTGCTTAATTTAGCGGAAAAGCTTTAAAGCTAAATTTTGTGGAAGACTTTTCCCGTTTTGAGTGGCGTCACGTGTGACGTCAGTATGGGGACCATCCCATAATGGGGAGCGTGGTTACGCCGACGGCGACGGCGACGTCGCTCAATCCGGAAACGGGCGCCTAAGGGCTGCGCTTCCCTAAAACGAAGTACAGCAATTTCAAACTTATTAGAGCGCAGCTCTTAGGGGCCCGTTCCCGGCTTGAGCGGCGTCGGCGTCGGCGTCGGCGTAACCAAGGTCACCCCAAGGTCACGCGACCCCATAAGGTCATCCCAAGGTCACGCGGCTCCCAAGGTCACCCTAAGGTCACGTGACCCCCAGAGGTCACGTGACCCCGCCCCCAGGGTCACGTGACCCCCAAGGTCACGTGACACCCAAAGTCACGTGACCCCCCGAGGTCACGTGACCCCCCCCCCCCGAGGCCACGTGACCACCCCCCAGGGTCACGTGACCCCCCCGCCGAGGTCACGTGACCTCCCCGATGACGTCATCGTCACCGATGACGTCACCGGCATCCACATCGTCATCATCACTGATGACGTCATCAGTGACGTCACTGATGACCTCACAGGCATCGTCATCGTCATCATCACTGATGACGTCATCAGTTACGTCACTGATGACGTCACCGGCATCCGCATCGTCATCGTCATCATCACTGATGACGTCATCAGTGACGTCACTGATGACGTCACCGGCATCCGCATCGTCATCGTCATCATCACGGACGACGTCATCAGTGACGTCACTGATGACATCATCGGCATCATCACGTGACCCCCAAGGTCACGTGACCCCCCTCCCAGGTCACTTCACCCCCCAGTACCCTTCCCTCCTCCTCCTCTAGAGCTGCGCTCTAATTCGGTGTTACAGGGAGTTGTAAACGGCTTTCACTTTTTCATGAATGCTCAAAGCAGTGAATGGTGTTAACTGAGTTTATAAACAGTTGATTGCTAATAATTGATACAACATAGGCATGAAGGTAGTTTCATTTAAAGAAGTCTTACGGAGGAATGAAGACAAGTCAGGCCACCTACTTCAAACTGATGGTCAATGTGCAGTGTATTATAAAGACGCGTTGCCCCTGGCTAAGAAGCCAGACTTTGTGACCCCAAGCATCCGTACTTCCAAACCCTGATTTTACAATTCTATGTTTATGTAAAAATGTCGCTCGATTTCGCTGGAGTCTAATATCCTAAACGCGGTGCGCCTGCGTTTCATTATAATACTCCAACCACATAAAAAAATTAAAGGGCAATTAGCCGCATGTCACTTGCGAATCGACAAAGTAAGATGATCTTCTGATCACTGGAATACAATTGAGCTGAATGTCGTCCATACTGTAGCCCACCATAACAAGGGGGCCCAGCAGAAATTCGGCAGAAACGTGACGTCCAAGGCAGAAAAGCAATGCTTTATTAATTTTTTTCTTAAAGAGACCGTAGTGTCACCAATATAACAGTTGGCAATTATAAGCCAGCATGTTTTCCTTAATCAAGGTTTAAAAACACAACTAGTGATGTGACTAGTCTCAAGCAGCATTAACGGCATTCCCATTCTAGACGCTTACTGTGGGCAGTTGGCAGATTAAGGATAAAATAATTAAAATGGCTATATGTTTTACTCGTATTAGCCGAAAAAATCAAAACTAAGAAAAAATGCTACCTCTAAGCACAATTTACGCAGGTCATCAAATGAATCGTTAATCCTCGGCATCTGGCGCTTATTAAGACGTTAAAGAGCAGGTTGCTTGTTCTATGTTCTTACGAATGGTGTAATCACTAAGAGGTTAAAAAACGCAGGCTTCAGGATTCTGATTTCCTGATTTGATGCCGCAATCTTATTTGCGGAGGGCGATAAAAGTATTTTCGAGAGTAGCCATGCCCGCGCCCAGGCACGGAACAAGAGAAGTAACGTGTTTTAATATAAAAAAGTGTTACTTTACCATGTTTAATTACCGTTTCTCATCTTCTTCTAGGCTGGATCTTGCAGAACATGAAAGTGGCAAGCTTTCCAACAGCGTCGTGGGTACGAATAGACGTTCAACGCCGATGTTGAATTCATAAAGAAAAAGACCGTAATTTTTTCTGCATACGCTTGAAAACAGACCTTTCTGTATAGACTGGCACCGTAACTTATACATCTCCAAGACTTGGAACCACCTTAAGAAATTACTCTATTTGTCTATTGAAAAATGCAGCTCTATGGATGCTTTCGAGCGCTCACCCCGTAATCAAGTTGATAGAAATACGAAAATGGTACAGACATTCCCGAAGTTAGTTGAATACACTCAGCATTAAATTAATAATACAAATATATTATTAAATGTTACAAAGAAGCAGCCATCTAGATAAGGGGAAAAATTAGAAAGCTAACAAATTGGTTACTATCTGTGTGCACAAACTCTACCTCTGCCGATAACGCCGTTATTGTGAGATCGATCTTCAAATATACTTTAGTCGGGACTCTTTCGGCGCATGCCCCGTGAAGTAACGTATGTCACGAAGGTACAACCGGTTTTAGTTTACAATAAAAACGATTTTGATTAGAAAGAAGACAGTGAATCCAACCTGGTCGGTGAGAACCACCGTGGTTGTTTTAGTGTTCCGTGAGATACTCGTCCGATTTAGGTACACCTTTAGAGCACAAAATCCAAAATGCCACTTTTCCGCAGTGTCCAAACCGATAATCTGACATTCACATAACTATCCGATCGGCGCTCGAACCTGCATCATCACGCCACCTTCACGATCGCTGATATTGTCACGGGTGGTGACCAAAAATAACAAATAAACAGGAAGAAATAAACGTTTAATGTGGCGAACTTGTGCCAAAAATAAAGGAGTACAAAAGATAATAATAGAGCGTCGTGGGCGTCGAAGTCGGCGTGGCAGCAGAGTCGAACGCTGGGGCGAGACTGACTCCGCTCGCCTTGCGGAATCCCTTATGTACCCTCGTGGGTTTCTGGATCGTTCGGCGTAGAAGGTTCGGTGTGTAGAACATTCTAACCTCGAATCAGCAAGACGGTTCTCGAATTCACTAGAACATCAAATTACACTGTCAACAAAAATGTGTAGTCGCGGCCAGGAATCGAACCCTGGCCTTCTGCGTGGGAGGCAAGCGCGATAACCGTTAGGCCACGCGCGCGCTGCCTAATTGTCCAGCTGCGCGCGCGGCATTACTCCCCCCTTTAAAAAGTGCATCGTTTCGATGCAACCCAAAACAAAACAAAGCACATAAAAAGAACGGCAAACTAAAGAGTCGCTTGAAACACATAAGATCCACAGTCCTATCGAGCGTAGTACGGCTTCAGGCGCACGACGTGGACGACTTCAGGTCGTGGTGGGCGGCGTGATGATGTTCTTGTTCCGTCGGGCATCACCTCGTAGTTCAGCTCGCCGAGGCGACGAAGTACCTTGTATGGTCCAAAGTACCGTTTCAGCAGCTCCTCACTGAGGCCGCGGCGACGGATGGGCGTCCACACCCACACCCTGTCTCCGGGCTGGAAGTGAACGTCCCTGCGACGAAGGTTGTAGCGGCCCGCGTCGACGCGTTGCCGGTCTTGAATCATGAGTCGGGCGAGCTGGCGGACTTCTTCGGCGCGTTGAGCAACCGCCTGGGCGTCGTCGCTCTCATTGTCAGATGGCTCATGGGGCAGCATTGCGTCCAGCGTGGTCGTTACCTTCCGACCATGTACCAGCTGGAAAGGGGTGAATCCAGTGGTCTCCTGAACCGCCGTATTGTAGGCGAACGTGACGTAGGGCAACACCTCGTCCCACGTCTTGTGCTCTACGTCGACGTACATAGAGATCATATCGGCGATTGTCTTGTTGAGTCGCTCGGTCAGCCCGTTGGTCTGCGGGTGGTATGGAGTGGTTCGACGATGGCCGGTGCCACTGAGACGAAGGATCTCTTGCGTCAGCTGGGCCATGAACGAAGATCCGCGATCTGTAATCAGAACTTCGGGAGCGCCGTGCCGGAGGACGATGGACTCGATGAAAAACTTGGCGACTTCCACAGCAGTCCCTGAAGGAAGAGCTTTCGTTTCGGCGTACCGCGTGAGATAATCTGTGGCGACGACGATCCAGCGGTTCCCCGACGTCGAAGGCGGAAAAGGACCAAGTAGATCCATTCCGATCTGCTGGAAGGGTGTAGTTGGAGGAGAAATGGGCTGCAGAAGTCCGGCCGGCCTCGTCGGCGGTTTCTTGCGTCGCTGGCACTCGTGGCATGATCGTGTGTATAGGTGGACGGTCTTGGGGAGCTTCGGCCAGTTATACTTTTCACGAATACGGGCCAGTGTCCGGCTGTAACCAAGGTGTCCGGATGTCGGGTGGTCGTGGCAGGCTTGGAAGATCTCCTCTCGAAGGTCACTCGGGATTACCAGCAACCACGGTGTGTTGTTGTCGCCGAAGTTCTCTTTGTAGAGTACACCTTGCCGGATGGCGAAGGTCGGCAGTACTCGTGAGAAGACACGTGGCACGGTACTCCTGCCCCCTTCCAGGTGCTCGATTAATGCGCGCAGCTCAGGATCGTCCCGTTGACGTCGTGCCATATCGTCGGTGTTCACTGCTCCTAGGAAGCACTCGTCGTCGTTGTCGTCGCTGCAGCCGGAAGGGGTTTCGACGGGGGCTCTGGACAGGCAGTCGGCGTCGCTGTGCTTGCGGCCTGACTTATAGACCACTGTCATGTTGAACTCTTGTAGTCGAAGACTCCATCGAGCGAGGCGTCCTGACGGGTCCTTCAGCTTCGCAAGCCAGCAGAGCGAGTGGTGGTCCGTGACTACACGGAACGGGCTCCCGTACAAGTACGGACGAAACTTCGTTACTGCCCAGACGACCGCAAGGCATTCTTTCTCAGTTGTGGAGTAATTTTTCTCCGCCTTGGACAATGTCCGACTTGCGTATACGGTGACTCGCTCGATGCCTTCTTGCACTTGGACTAGTACTGCGCCCAGTCCCGCGTTACTTGCGTCCGTGTGAATTTCTGTTTCCGCATCCTGGTCGAAATGTCCAAGAACAGGAGGAGTCTGGAGTCGTCGTTTCAGTTCGTCGAATGCCTGCTGTTGCTCCTCGGCCCATTCGAACTTCTCGGCGTCCTTCGTGAGATTCGTAAGTGGTGCGGAAATCCTTGCGAAATCCCGAACGAAGCGTCGATAATAGGCACAAAGCCCAAGGAATCTTCGCACGGCCTTCTTATCTGTCGGCGCTGGAAATGCCGCGACGGCGCGAGTCTTCTCGGGGTCTGGGCGGACGCCTTCGTTACTAACCACGTGGCCAAGGAACTTCAGTTCGTCATAGGCGAACCGGCACTTTGACGGCTTGAGTGTGAGTCCGGCGGTCTGAATGGCTTAAAGAACAGCTCGGAGTCGTCTCAAGTGCTCGTCGAAGTCAGCTGAAAATACTACGACGTCGTCAAGGTAGACGAGACAACTCTGCCACTTCAGCCCTGCCAGTACGGTGTCCATGACACGCTGGAAAGTTGCTGGAGCCGTGCACAGTCCGAAGGGCATCACCTTGAATTCGTACAGCCCATCTGGCGTGACGAAAGCTGTCTTCTCTCGGTCCCGTTCGTCGACTTCGATCTGCCAGTAGCCGCTCTTCAGGTCCATCGATGAGAAGTATCGAGAGTGGCGCAGCCGGTCTAACGTGTCGTCGATTCGGGGGAGTGGGTAGACGTCTTTCTTCGTCACCGCGTTCAGCTGCCGGTAGTCCACGCAGAACCGAAGCGTTCCGTCCTTCTTCTTAACCAGTACGACTGGAGAGGCCCACGGACTGCTTGATGGCTGGATTATGTCGTCGTTCAGCATCTCTTGAACTTGCTCCTGGATCACCTCCCTTTCTTTAACGGAGACTCTGTACGGTGATCTATGCACAGGGCGCGCGTCGTCCTCGGTAATGATGCGGTGCTTCGCAACGGCTGTTTGGCGTACGTTCGACGACGTCGCGAAGCAGTCACGGTATTCGGCGAGGAGGTTAATCAGCTGCCGTCGTTTCGGGTTCGGAAGCTTAGGGTCGATGTCGAGTTGCGCTGGCGACGTACCGTCTTGCTGAGGTGGTGAGGATTCATCAGTAATGGCGGCGATTTCGGCGGAGTTTCGGAGATCCTCGACGTGGCCAACGGCTGCATCTTTTGTGAGGTGTTGCGTTTCATTCCGGAAGTTCGTCACGAGGGCCACAGTCCGCCCATCCTGAAGTTCAGCTACTCCCCTTGCGACGCCTATGCCTCTTCCCAGGAGCAATTGGAGGCTTCCCTCGAGAAGAACTTCGCCACAGGAAGCTTCATCAATCCCGACAAGTACGAAAACACTCGACCGCGGTGGTAGGTTTACGTGGTTTGCGAGGACTCGGACCGTGGGTGACGTCGCTTGGGGTTCCTCCGCTGGTGGAGCAGGTTTTCGTAGCGTCAGCCGGTTTGTTCCGAGGTCGATGACGGCGCCATACTCGCAGAGAAAGTCCATTCCGAGGATAACGTCCCTCGAACAGTCTTGCAGAACGACGAACTTGACAGGGCACGTTTCACCGTGGATCTCGACGCGAGCAGTGCATCTCCCGACTGGTGTGATGAGATGTCCTCCGGCGGTTCGTATTTGGGGTCCTTCCCACGGCGTCATGACTTTTCGAAGGCGGCGGGAGAGCCTCCCACTCAAGACTGAGTAGTCTGCTCCGGTGTCCACGAGTGCCGATGCGTCGTGGCCGTCGATGACGACGTTTAGGTTGTTGGACACCGTTGCAGGGGCGTCGTAGCGATGCGTGGCGTCGGGAGTGTGGGAGCGCTCCGGCGTTCTTGGAGGCTCTTTACTCGGGTCGTCTTCGGCAACGGCACCTCCAGGCGTTGCCGCACTTAGTTTTCCCGACGATATAGGGGGGACAGGCTGTCACGGCGCGACCGACGGAAAGGCGACGCGGAACGTCGGGGGGATGGAGAACGGGAACCTCGTGGTGCGGTGGGCGCTGGTGACGGAGGGCGACGGAGGTATTCCTCGATGTCCCTTGGTCGTTCTCCAAATCGAGGTCGACGGTCGTTTGGAG